GAAGAATTTCTTCAATTGTGTCATACACTTTTTCCACTTCATCATCTTCATACTCTGATGTTGGCATGTACACTTGTATAATCAGTATATCTACCGGTTCCGCCTTTAACTTCAGAGCGATAATTCTGTCATTACAAACAATCTTCTTAACAACACTCCTCACTACACTTTTATGCACCACTATTGCCACACCTCTTTCAGGTACTGATTTACCTGGTAAAAAAATAACACTATTTTACTTAAGGTAAGCTTCATAAACTTTGATCTAAAAGTCTGTAACGATGGTACACTAATATAAATACTGTGTTTATGGATATTATCCATCATGCTGCCTTTTTTATTTAAAATACACAACATTTTGGAGACTGGATTCTATCCACCTACTCAGTTGGCCCCAATCAGTAGAGGATTGGATATACAGAGTGTAAATAAATATGTTACAATGCTCTGCGGTGGACAGATGGGTTCAATGTGATCATATTTTGTTAATACACCCATGTCAGAAACGCTTTGTTTACGCACTAGGGCCTCTTAAATGTGAAGGATGCCCTTACCTCTAACCTCTTTGGCTTACTGGTGACACTTACCGAACATTTCTCCAAGAGACCTTACCAAGCTGCTGGAATTGATGCCTTTGGAAGCCCATCATGAAATGTGGTTCCAGCATGATGGCGCTCCCGCACACTGAACTAAGGTTGTCTATGAGTATTTTGATGAAACTTTTCGCACCAGATGGATTGGACATGGAGGTCCAGTAAACCTGGCCCCCTCGCTCCTCTGACTTGACTCCACTGGATTTCTTTCTCTGGGGGTACATGCAAAGCCTGGTGTATGAGACTCCAGTGGAGAGACAACATGATCTTGTGGCAAGAATTGCAGTAGCAGCTGGAAACATCCGGGAATCTTTCAAAGAGTTCAGCATAATATAGCCAGGCAGTGCAGAACATGCAATGAAGCCGGTGGCTGCCATTCTGAGCAACTTTTATAATGTAACACAACAATAACATCCCTAAAACTGATGCATCCTCTCGGAAATTTTGTGACCCTTAGTGCCAAAAGGAAGCACTTCCAGGCATGGGTGTATTAACATATGATCAAATTGATCCCATCTATTTAAGAGACAGAGCTGTAACATATATTTATTTACACTCTGTACAAACCAAGCACAGCATAACCATCTACAAGAGTTAAGACAAACATTAACTAACTTCATGGAGCTAAGCCCTTCTTGGGAAGCCATCAGTTGTGGAGCTACTCAAGAATTACCTAACTTATTATGGAACCCAAAGGCTCATATTACTCATTACTGATCCTTATCCTGAGCAAGATCAATCAACTCCATACCTCATCCCATTTCTCTAAGATCCATTTTAATATTATCCACCCACTTACATTTTGGTCTTCATAGTAGTCTCTTCCCTTTGGCTCTCCCACCAGTATCCTATTATGCATTCCTCATCTCCCCCATTCGTGTTACATGCCATGCCTATCACATTCACCTTGACTTGACTATTCTTATTATACATGGTGTAGGGTAAGTTATGAACCTCCTCATTATGCAGCCTTCTCCAACCTTCCATCACTTCATCCCTATTCAGTCCAAATATACTCCTCAGCACCATGTTCTCAAACACCCTCAATCAATCTTCCTTGCTTGATGTCAGAAACCAAATTTCATATCCACACAGAACCACAGGCAAAATTATAGTTCTGTATATTCTAATTTTTATGTTTTTAGACAGCAGACAAGAAGACAAAAGGTTCTGGACTGAATGGTAGCAAGTATTCTGCAGTACTGCCACTATCAGATAGTGGTCAGGGACGAACCAGTAGTTCGAAACCTACGTGAGATAAAACCAAAAACTCTCTTGGGAGTCAGTAGTACTGACATACCACTGCAGGGGGTTACTACCTCTAGCACACCTGCAGTAGAAGAAGGATTGGGATACCTAGTCTCTGCAGTAGGTGGACTCCATCTAGCAAGAAAAGACTTCTCTAGATGCACTAGACAGAAGGTGAATAAGACAAGAGCTGGGGCAAGCAAAGCAGGAACTGGGGGCAGTCAGAAACCAGGAAATGCAGACTCGTCCAAGCAGGGAGCAACCACCACTGGTACATTTAAGAGGCCTAGGTCAGAGGGCAGTACCCCTACAGAAATGGCCAGAACTCCAAAAAGGCCCAGGGACTTACAAGGACCAATATAAAGGCAGCTATCATCAAGGAAACTTATCCTGAGGATAAGCTTACCAAAGAGGAACAGAATTCCATTCTGGAAGCAC